GCAGATGATATGATAATATACATAAGCGACCCCAAAAATTCAACCAGAGATCTCCTTCAACTGATAAACACCTTCAGCAAAGTGGCTGGATACAAAATCAACTCAAAAAAATCAGAAGCCCTCCTGTATACCAAAAACAAAAGGGCCAAGAAAGAAATTAGGGAAACAATACCCTTCACATTAGCCACTAATAACATAAAGTACCTTGGGGTGACTCTAACCAAGCAAGTGAAAAACCTGATGAGAAAAACTTCAAGTCTCTGAAGAAAGAAATTGAAGTATATGTCAGAAGATGGAAAGATCTCCCATGCTCATGGATTGGTAGGATTAACATAGTGAAAATGGCCATTCTGCCAAAAGCAATCTACAGATTCAATGCAATTCCCATCAAAATACCAACACAATTTTTTACAGACCTTGAAAGAAAAATTCTCAACTTCATATGGAGAAACAAAAAACCCAGAATTTCCAAAATGATCCTGTACAACAACAGATCATCTGGAGGTATCTCCATCCCTGATCTCAAGCTGTACCACAGAGCAATAGTAATAAAAACTGCATGGTATTGGCATAGAAACAGAATAGTGGATCGATGGAACTGAATAGAAGACCCAGAAATAAACCCACACACCTATAGAAACTTGATTTTTGATAAAGAAGCCAAAACCATTCAATGGAAAAAAGACAGCATCTTCAACAAATGGTGCTGGTCCAACTGGATGTCTATATGCAGAAAAATAAAAATAGATCCATTTTTATCACCCTGCACAAAACTAAAGTCCAAGTGGATCAAAGACCTCAACATAAAATCAGGCACATTAAACCGATTAGAAGAAAAAGTGGGGAAGACCCTAGAACTCATCGGCACAGGAGACTACTTCCTGAACAGAACACCAACAGCACAAGCTCTAAGATCAACAATCAATAAATGGGACCTCATGAAACTGAAAAACTTCTGTAAAGCAAAGGACACTGTCATCAGAACAAAATGACAGCCTACAGACTGGGAAAGGAACTTCACCAACCCTACATCTGACAGAGGGCTAATATCCAGTATGTATAAAGAACTCAAGTAGTTAAAAAGCAACAAATCAAGCAATCCAGTTAAAAAATGGGATATGGAGTTAAACAGAGAACTCTCTGTAGAGGATTGTAGAATGGCAGAAAAAGACTTAAACGCTCAACGTCCTTAGCCATCAGGGAGATGCAAATCAAAACAACCCTGAGATTTCACCTTACACTCATCAGAATGGCTAAGATAAAAAACTCAAATGACAACACATGCTGGAGAGAATGTGGAAAAAGGGGAAACCCTCCTTCATTTCTGGTGGGAATGTAAACTTGTACGACTTTGGAAATCAATCTGGTGCTTTCTCGGACAATTAGGAATAGTACTTCCTCATGATCCAGCTATACCACTCCTAGGCATATATCCAAAAGATGCTCAAGTACACGACAAGGACATTTGCTCAGCCATGTTTGTAGCAGCTTTATTCGTAATAGCCAGACCCTGGAAACAACCCAGATGTCCCTCAGTTGAGGAATGGATACAGAAATGTGGTACTTTTATACAATGGAATACTACTCAGCAATTAAAAACGAGGAAATCATGAAATTTGCAGGCAAATGGTGGGACCTAGAAATGATCATCCTGAGTGAGTGAGGTATCCCAAAAGCAGAAAGACACACATGGTATATACTCACTTATATAGACCTATAAGATAGGATAAATATACTGAAATCTATACACCTAAAGAAGATAAACAAGAAAGAGGACCCAGGGTACGATGATCAATCTTCACTTAGAAAGACAAATGGGATGAACATTGGATGTAGGAGAAAACAAGTAATGGGACAGGAGCCCACCACAGAGGGTCTATAAAAGACTCTACCTAGCAGTGTATCAAAGCAGATATTAAGACTTATAACCAAACCTTCGGCAGAGTGCAGGGAACATATGAAAGACGGGGGAGTTAGTAAGACCTGGAGAGGACAGGAGCTCCACGAGGACCAAATATATCAGGGCACAGGGGTCTTTCATGAGACTGTTTCTGCAACCAAGGACAATGAATGGATATAACCTAGAACCCCTGCTTGAATATAGCCCATGATAGCTCAGTATCCAAGTGGGTTCTCTAGTAAGGGGAACAGGGACTATTTCTGACTTGAACTCAATGGTTACCTCTTCGACGCCCCCCCTCCCCCGAGGAAGGAGCAGCCTTGCTAAGCCACAGAGGAAGACTTTGCAGCCAGTCCTGAAGAGAACTGATAAGCTAGGGTCAGATGGAAGGGGAGGAGGTCCTCCCCTATCAGTGGACTTGGAAAGGGGCAGGGAGGAGATAAGGGAGGGAAAGAGGGATGGGGGGCTACGGCTGTGATACAAAGTAAATAACCTGTGATTAATATAAAAAATAAAAATTATTATTAAAAAAAGGAAGACGAGGGGAAGAATGTAAAACTCTCTTCTTTTGACTGCCTTTGAGTAGGGACACAATGTTACTGACCTCGCTGTCTCTGTTTGTCTCTGTCTCTCAACAGGGTCTCACCTATTGTAGTTCTGGCTAGCCTGAACATCTCTGTGTAGACCAGGCTGGTCTCTAATCCCCAGAGCTCAGTCTGCCTCTGCCTCCTGAGTGCTGGCATTAAAGGCATGTGCCACCGTGCCCGACTTTGACACATCTCTTATTTGAGTTCTCTCTACTGCCTTCATTCACTTTAGTTGCAAAACTCCATCATGATCATATAATAGTTTTTCCTAGGAGTTAGTTGTTTACATGAAGTGGCCATCAGTGTCTGGACATCCTCAAGCGGTTGAAGTTGTACATACTAACATTTTTAAATGAAAAGGTAGACATTGGAGAGATGATGGTTCAGGGGTTAAGAACATGAATTAGTAATTAGTTTTTCTGTTGCTGTGAGAAAAGACCATGACAAAGCAACTTATAGAAGGTGTTGCTTGGGCTTGTGCTCCAGAGAGACAGTATGGTAGCAGGTGGAAGGCATGACAGTTGGCGGTTTATGCTTAGAGTTCGTGGCTCAGCCACTCTTGAATGGGAGAGCTCAAACGGGGAGAGGGTGAGCCTTTTCATCTCAAAGCCCACCCCAGATGTACCTCTTGCAATCAAGGCCACACCGTCTAAACCTCCCCAAACAGCACCACCAACTGGAACCAACTGTTCAGATGCCCAAATTCAAATCCAAATTTCTTGTTCAAACCGCCACACAACACTTGTTGTTCTTGCAGAGGACTTGGGTTCAGTTCCTAGCACCCACATGCTGGCTCACAACTTCCTGTAACTCCAGATGGAGAAATTCCAGTGCCCTCTTCTGGCTTCCTTGGGCACTGCACACATGTGGTACATATACACACATGTAGGCAAAACAAGTATACATATAAAATGAAATAAACTTTTAAAGTCAATGAGGCGTTTTGTGTTCTTACATCCCAGTTTGCTCTTTGTATGAGGCACCTGAAACTGTTTTTGGCATTTCGTTTTCAATTTGCAAGCTGTAAGGTCAGCATCAATGTGTATATCTAAGATTTGTAAAGGCTCCTGATGCTCCTTCCTCTATGTGGAGGCTGGGGGAGGGGAGGATGCCTGTCAGAGGAGCTGTGGCTCAGGGGATGCGCTGAGAGGCTGGACCTGCTGACACTGCAGTGGGCATCCATTTAGCTTTGAATTGTCCTGTTTTTTGTTTGTTTGTTTGTCTGTTTAAATATCATTTTTATTTATTACAGTTTATTCACTTTGTATCTCAACTGTAGCTCCACCCTTGTCCCCTCCCAATCCTGCCTCCCCTTATCATCTCCCACACCCCTTCCTCAGTCCACTGATAGGGGAGGTCCTCCTCCCCTTGCATCTGACCCTAGCCTATCAGATCTCATCAGGACTGTCTGCATTGTCTTCCTCTGTGGCCTGGCAAGGCTGCTCACCCTCAGGGGGAGGTGATCAAAGAGCCAGCCACTGATTTCATGTCAGAGACAGCTCCTGTTCCCTTTACTAGGATGCATTTGGAGACTGAGCTGCCATGGGCTACCTCTGTGAAGGAGTTCTAGGTTATCTCCATGAATGGTCCTTGGTTGCAGTTTTTTAATGTAGTAACATGACATTCTATCACAACTCTTAGTGTAAAAAAGGAGGGTGGTGGTCACTGGGCATGAGAATGTGTGAATTTTTTAAAGTTATATTCAGTACGTTTCAAATGGCTTATTTATTTTTAAACTAGAACTCTTCATCATCAGCAAAGCCAAGAACTGTTGTTTCAATGAGAGCTGAACATAATTGTCAATGCTCTGCTGATTCTTGCCTATTTAGAGTATTGGAGCATTTTGAAGTTAAACAGTATGATGTTAAAAGTCGCTTATGGGGATACAAATAAATAAATATAAGGTGCATTAAACATGTAAGTTAAATATGTATCTACTATTCCAAGTGCATTTGATTTCCTCCTCCTGAACCTCATTCTGCGAAATGCTTTTGAATATATATATATTTTTTTATTTTTAAGATCTAGCGTAAGGGGCTGGTTAAGGGCACTGGCTGCTCAGTCGTGAGGACCACAGTTCAGAACCCAGCACCCAAGTAGAGTCACAAATGCCCGTCACTCCAGTTCCAAGGCACCAAAACCCTCTCTGTCCTCTGTTGGCACCTGTGCTCTCAAGAGATAGACTTACAAGTTAAAAATGCTGAAAAGCAATGCCGTTCAAGGTGTGGCACTGGGTGGGCCCATTCAATAATAACAATGGTACAAGCAAAAGTTTTCTAAGATTTAGAAAACTTTACAGCAATTTGAGAAAGTAGCTGATTAGTCAGATTTTAATCTGAGAGCTAAAAATGGAGATCGTGCTCTCTGCGTTTCTTTTCCCCCTTAGTAATCAATTTCATTATCAAATGGTGGTCAGTGGGCCACCATCACCGACACAAAATATCAGAAGTTTAAAACATCACCACAGCAATCACAACAAATAGTGTGAGAAGCCGACTCCATGTCTTACTAACCTTCCCAGTGTCACACTGTAGGAAGAGATCAGCAAACATCTGTCGCCGCATAACACCTTTTACGATCTCCCGGAACTCTTCCGCACTGTGGCAAAGGTGTTTGAGGAGTTCCTCAAAAACTTCACTTTTCAAGTCTGCAATGTGTGAAGAAATGTACTGCAGAAAAAAGCAGGATAAATGATAACTTAAAACTGTGCTCTTTATTTGGATTTTCCCAGTGGTTTTCAGACCATGTGTGTGGATGGTATCAGCTGTAAAATGTTTCCACTTTTTTTTTTTTTTTTTTTTTTTTGCTCATCATTTCAGGTGTTTCCAGTGAGTGCCAATCTTCGGGCCTGTCTTCCTTTGCTATTGCCATGAAGAGACAGCATGAAATCAAATGGACAGAGAGAGCAAAGAGAAACAGTCTTGATGTTCTCAAGGTCCCTGATCTGTTTTATTCCTAAAGCCCTTGGACCACATGGGTTTCATCTTCAGCCCTGCCAACCTGGTTTCTATCTCTTCTAATGTGTAATTAGCGTGCATGTGAAAACATTCCAAGTTGGTAATTTGCTACTGAAAACAAGTCATTTCTTTTAAATAGAGTGTTTTTCCATATTAATGAGCACATTTAATTTTTTTTCTTTCAATTTTATTTTTATTTTATGTGTATCAATGTTTTGCCTGCAATGTGTCTGTGTACCACCTGGATACCTGGGGCTCTTGAAGGTCAGAAGAGGACATCAGAGCCCCTGGAACTGGAGTTACAGATAGTTATGAGCTACCACATAGAAGCATGGGGTCAAACTTGGACCTTCTACAAGGTCAACAGTACCCTTAACCACCGAGCCATCTCTCCAGTACAACATGAGCACGCATTTAAAGGTGATTGTCCATCTTCTCATTAATACCATCTAGGCACACTCTGAATGGAGTATGGAACAGACATGTTTGGGGCTGGAGAGATGGCTCAGCATTTAAGTGCATTTGCTGCTTAAGCATGAGGGCCAGAGTTTGAGGCCCAGCACCCACATCATTGCGAGGTGGCTCACAAATGCCCGTAGTTTCAGTTGCAAGGGATCTATCGCCCTCTTCTGACATCGGAGGGAATCCACACACGTTTGTACATAGTGGCACAGATGGAGACACCAGCAGATACACATACATTTTTAAAAGAGGTAGATTTGTAGCCGAGTGAATAGATTATAAACTATTACTCAACTTGCCAAAAAGAGCTGCTAGTTTGTTTGGAGCTCACATCTTCAGCCTTCAACTTCTGAACCTCCTTTCTCCACTTCCTGACTGCTCAGATTACAGTTATGTCCTACCAGGCCTGGATTATGCTAGGCTGGGGCATGGTGAGCAACCATTCTACCAGCTGAGCTACAGCCCTAGCCATCAGTTGTCACTATTCTTGATAAATCAATGAGCACAGTTAAGTTCTTATCTAACATCTAAAGAAACCGAGTAGGACAAGAGGTTAGAATTTTGTCTGTGTCCAAAGCCTAGTTTCCTCACTCTTCACTTTAAAAATGAGTATCAGACTAGTAGCCATCTCAGAGGGACATGTTGAGGTCACGGAAATGTGTACGAGGTACACACAGAATCTGGCCACTCCATGTAATAACTTTATAGACATTTCTCTTGTTTACTCCCCAGGTAGTTAAGAATTGGTAAATAGCATTTTTTTCTTATAGAATAAGACAGTCCTTCCAGTCGACAGAAAACATATTCTTAGAAGGGCTGAACAAGATGAGTGATTTTTCAAAGTGTGGTCCATACACCAACAGCATGGCCTGGGCATGTGTTGAGAATACAGTTTGGAGCTCTGACCCCGACCTACTGCATCAGAAACCCTGAGGTTGAAATCAATCTGTGTTTTAACAAGCCCTATAGGGGATGTAGGTTTGCTAAAGTTTGAGAACCCCTGAGCTGGATGGCATAGGGTAATTGGTCCTAATTAGTTGGGTATCCTAAGATCTCATTCTTTAGTGCTAATGACTTTCTGCTTGATTAGGAGGCATTTTATAAATTACTCATCTTGTAAAATTATTACATAATTAGCATTTTTATATTGTTGATCAATCCTTTAATGTTGAAAAATATTGGCTCATGATAAAAATGTCACTTTATATTCTATTTAGCTTTTGGGAGTTAATGTTAAAGCCATGTGAGTTTTTTTGGGTGTGGGGTTTCTACCGAATCAAGAATCAGTGAAAACCTTTCTCTGAAAGTTCAACACTCTGGATTTATAACCCATGGGTTTTCCAAGTGAACATTTTCTAACTGTGATATGTGTAAGTTATATAACATAAAGATTACCAACCAGTCACCCACTTAACTACAAACTCAATTCTAAATAGAACAATTACAGAAAATTGACCAGGCCTTGTAAGACCAGAAGAAACATGAAAATACACAGGAGCTTTTGTGTTTTTATATCCCTGCAAAGAATGAATCAAAATAAGTCTTTAGATTTATTTTAAGACTGAGTGATGTTCAGTGTATTTACTCTTATTTATTTCACTTTTTTTTTTTTTGAGTCAGGTCTTCTCTGTGTAGCCCTCTATGCCCTGGAACTCACTTTGTAGAGGCTGGCCTCAAACTCATAGAGATCTGCCTATGTCTGCCTCCCAAATGCTGGGATCAAAGGCATGCCCTGCCTCTGCCACTCAGCCTAGATTGTGTCTGTGAGTCTCGATAGTTTCCAAGGAGTCTGCAAGCAAGGTATGCAGAGTCTCCTAGCAGAGTGTGTTGGTAAGGAAGTGGTATATTTGTACAGACTTTGGGCAGAAAACTAGATTTCCAGTCTCAGAGTCAGAGCTGAAACAAGAACAGCTCCTGAGGGCCGGGACACAGCTTAGTGGTAGAACATTCACAACATGAACAAGGACATGGGTTTGAACCCAAATGCCAGGCACAAAGAGGCAATTGTTGCTAGTTATACACTTAGCTATGCAGTAATACTCCTGAATTTGTCTGACTTTTCAAAACTCTGTCTAGCAAATGAATTAAACAAAGACCTCATTTAATACCTAGTAATAAAAAAAAAAAATAGGGCTAAAACATACAGTGTTGCCCCTTATTAGTGAACTATAGCAGGGAATGTCATGGACCATGCTGTATTTCCCCTAAATTCCTGTTGACCAAATCCTTAGTATCTCAGAATATGACTATATTTAGAGATAGGGTTTTTAAAGATGTAATTAAGACGGGGCCTTGAGATGTAGGCCCTAATCAAGTAGGACTAATGTCCTTATATGAAAAGGAAATCTGGACACACAGAGCTGGAAGGCTAGATGAAGGCACAGGGGAACATGGCCATCTGCAGAGTAGAGACTGGGCATCACAGAGGCTAACCAGCTATCTGTAAACAAGGAGGCCAAGCGTCAGCAGAAACCAGCTTGGCTGACATTCATCTCAGCCCACAAAATCATAGGAAGTAAACGTTTTTGTTATTTAACCCACTCAGTCTGTGGTGCTGCAGTCTGTGGTACCAGGCAACCAGGAACCACTGGTCAGTCAGTTCCTGTGATGGATCTCTTACGGAAGAAGACCATTCAGGAAGGGAGCTGGTGACGTGCAGGCCTGTCCACCTATTCCTTCTTTTTTCTCTGGCATGGAATCCTCTCACCTCACCCTAAGGTTTCCTCATGTATTTTCACAACTTATTATTACTAGTAACCTCTCTCAAAGCTATACAGTCTCCTTTCTCTGGTTTTATCATACAGTAACTCAGGGCATATGAGTGAAAATTAAATTAAATTAAAGATGTGAATGATCTAAAGAGACTAGAAAGCCTTTCAGGTGTGAAGTACCACTGTGGGAAAAACACATCGTAGGAGAGGTATAATCTTTGGGCACCGTTTATGAAGCCTTTCTCTTTAAACTGAAGGGCCACATCAGTTTGAAGGTCTCAGACTTATAGTACTGATATTAAACAACCCATAGAAAGGGACCACACCGGAGTGAAATACCGCTGAGCAGAGAGCAAGACCCAAAGAAGAGAACACAGGCAGAGACGTGGCCCTACTCCTGGCCATGGCATGCACGGTTTCTGAGTGCGAGTGACTGAACCTATCAGAATCCCCTTGCACAGTACTGATGTACGTAATTATCCTTCAGATCACTGTTTAATTCAGGAATGGGTCTCAGGTGGTCTGAAGCCCAGACTTAGGAAGGATGCTCCTGATAAACCAGCCATCGCTCTGTGGAGTCTCATGACAATCAGGAGCACACTGGGTTGTTTTCACTTGTCTCTAGTGAGCAGTGAAGTGTGCGGCATCTCCTTGGCGGTCACATGGGCAGAGACATGAGATCCTGGTTCAAGGGCAGGAGAGCACACACACTTCCCTGCTCCTGCGGTGTCACTCATTTTAACCCCGAGAACCTCGTGCCGCCTCAGACTCCTCGTCTCAGGCACACCAGGAAGACTTGATGCCCTGTTGTGGTCTGAAGCTGACACATCCTTCCCTGGTCCCATTCTGCCTGTGCATGCAGCCATGCAAATGCACACACAGAGGCAGAAACTCCTATGTGTGCCTACAAAAATCTTCATTCCACTACAACAGAACATTCTTATAATACATTGCTGTGCTCTACCTAATGGAGCAAGGAGAAAATATTCTCAAATGGTAATTTTGAACCTTTGTTTACTAGAAAAAAAAAACAGGATTAAAAATTGAGAAGTGGATTGCAGTCAAGGAAGAGACCAGTAACTGCTCAGAAAATAGGTACATAAGAACACGGTAGCGATGAAGAAGGGCCTGTGCACTTTCATTCTCCCCCTTTCTGTGATTTCTCCTGCTATGATTCATGGTTGCATTTTCTCCAGACATCTTCCATGGTCACAGGGCAACTGAATGGCATAGTGCCTCACTTGTAACTGATATCCTGTCTTTATTTATTTATTTTTAGATGTATTCACTTACTATTTATACAGTGTTCTGATTGCTTGTACACCCGCAGGCCAGAAGAGGGCACCAGATCTCATCATAGATGGTTGTGAGCCACCATGTGGTTGCTGGGAATTGAACTCAGGACCTTCAGAAGATCAGCCAGTGCTCCTAACCACTGAGCCATCTTTCCAGCCCCCTTAAGCCTAGTATTAATATTACATTTTCTTCTGTTTTCCTAGGTGGACGGTAATAAAATGGCCTTATCGCAAACCTCTGGAA